AGAAAATGTGCCCAAAAACAAATAAGCATAGATATAAGATTAGCAAACACCATATTTTGAGTTGATAATAATGAAACATGTGATTGTTTACTTGATGCATCAACAAAGATAAAAAAAATAACAAAATGGTCTTGATATTGGATTAATAGGACCACAAATATCACCATGCAATCTTTCAAGCATTGGTGGTAATTCTTGTAGAAGTTTCCAAATTGAAGGCTGAGTAATCATTTTACCTTGCACACATGCACGACATAATTCTATAGAGTCTACATTCACAAGCTTTAAATTATACATGGAATGATCTTTTTAAATAATATGGATTTTAGATGTCCCAATCGTCCATGCCAGAGAGAAACACAACTCTCTGTGATAGATGATACAAAATTAAATATAATAGGAGGCCAAATCACAATTCGATATAAACCATTTTCTATAGCAAAAGCTTTTTCAACAACTTTATGATTCTTTGCAAGAATCAAAACCTCTTTTCTATTTAAAATGGCAGTCGAGAGTTGATAACCATTAATACGCACATCTCGGTAGCTGATCAAACTCCGAGGTATTGAAGGTACAAACATCGCATGTTTATATTTTATGATGGAATCCGCAGGTAATTTTACCATCATTGCGCCCTCTTGGAAACAAAACGCATTTGTTCCAGCCATGGTCATCATATTTTTAGTTTGCCAAGTTGAAGATTTTTTAATAAAAAATTTTCTATCTTGCAAGATAATATGTGTTGTTGCAAAATCAATGAGTACATCATTTGATTCATCATTAGAGGTTTTTTCATTCATATAAGCTTCTAAGTCATCAACACCAATTGAATCCATCGACGCATCCATGGTATGAACTTCACAAGCCTGAACTCGTAGTTTCTTATTTTCTTGAAATATTTTAATAAAATATTTTGAAGTACGGCACACATATGCTAAATGTCCAATCATTCCACACTTATGATAAGAATGCATCTCTGATTTTTATTTTCTACTATAATTAATAGTAGAATATTTATTCTTTTCATATGGGTAGAAATGGTCATGACTATGACTACCTTGATACTTATAAGTATGTTTCCCATGTTTATATAATTTTTTCTTAGTTTTTGAAATATAAAGTGCATGAGATTCTGGAACTGTAGTTCCAATTGGACGAGCTTCCGCATTGCGTAAGAATAGCTCATTTTGTTTCTCTGCAAGAAGTAGATAGGACATGAGATGAGAATGACTTTGAAATTTCATGTTCCTACATTGTTGTGCAAGCACAACAGATACATGAGGAAATGTAGAGAGTTGTCTCAATCATTTCTTCTTCAGAGATGCTTTATCTACATAATCGTAATTGTGAGATAATACTATATATTTCACTATTGAAAGCATTTAAATTTGGAAAATCCAAAACACATAAATGTGTCCAATTATGACGTGTGCGTGGAAGGAAAATGGTCTTTTGATGATCAAATCTGGATTTAAGATTCTTCCAAAGTTCTACAGGATCTTCCATTTTCAAGTATTGATGTTGTAATGAAGGTACAAGATGATGACGAAGGAGAAAAAGTACTTTCTAACAAATAGTAGGAAGAATAGAAATACTTATTGTAGGAGATTCTTCAAACATAATGGCATCTAAGAATTGTTCTGTAAATAAATTTATTTTTGCCATTTATGCCCATAATAGATAATTGTTTCCATCCACAGTCAATGGTAGAAATAAAAGAGCTTGAAAATGTTGGAATGTACTACTAATAGTTGGAACCATAGTAGAAGTAGTTGAAGATGTTGAAGTACTCATTATAAATAAATCTATAAAAAAAATACAAAATCAAGTAGAAAAGTTGAGTAAAATATAGCTTAAAATATAAAGTCAAATAAAATGATAAACTTGAATCTAAAAAATAAAAATATTTTATTATTATTATTATTATTATTTTAAGGAGAGATTGTGGATTAAGGCAACAAAAACAATAGTAGGACGGCGGCAGCAGCGCAAGCAATAGCAGCGGCAGGATAGGCGGCAGTTCGACGGCTGTTTGGCGACAGGTGCGGGGCACAATAGGGAGCAAGGTGAAGCCGGGCTGGAACAAGTATTCTAAGCAAGCATGGCAGAGAGTGGAACAAGTACTCTAAGCAAGCAGCTAATGTGTGAGGGGCCAACAAGAAGAACAGCAAGATCATGAGGCAGACATTGAGCAAGAGTAGCAAGAAGAGTCAAGACTAGAGCAAAAAGAATTATGATAGTGTATAGAAGAGAGTCATACTGATAACATGTTGAGAATGTTTAAAATGATACAAGAGTAATAATAAGTCATACACAAATACAAGAGTAGTAGTAAGTCATACACAAATACAAGAGTAGTAGTAAGTCATACACACACACAAGAGTAGTAGTAAGTTATACACACAAGAGGGTTTCTAAAGAGAGTGAGCTTCACACATAAAAATTCTATTGATCCAGTTGTGTCTCGTATACAAGAAGAGAAAAGGAGAGAGGATAAACACTGCTTGTCCACTAGACTCTAAATATTGTAGCTATAGTATTTATTGTAGTCTATAGTAAATATTATGGAGAGTGTTGGCTACATTTAATGATCTCAACAAGTAAGAAGCAAAGGAGTTTTCAATACAATAGTCAGCACAGTTAGCACTGACATGGAAAGTTGTGCTTGCCACCTCAACATCGCCTCAGTAAGCCACATGTCTACCATGGTTATGTAATTTACTGTAAATATATCCACATTTCACTCCCAACACCATCTCATCAATAACATTAAGTTCTTCTCTTTTATTTTCATTCAAATGTACAATTCCACAAAGAGTTTTTGATTAACATTAAAATGGATACAAGATGTAAACCATCCAACCTTAAAGTCACAACCATCAAGAAATATTACATGGTCAAATCTTATTCTTCATATCTTTATAATATTGTTTTCTATGATAGATATTCCAACATGTAAGGTATTGTGTCTAAATAAAGAAATGATGTTAAAAAAAATATAACTATTTTCTATATTATGACAATGTAATATAGAATGGTGGCTATGTTAAAAGATAAAAAGTTTTAATAGCTACATAATAAATAATATTTAAGGAAGAAAATTGACATAGGGCCAATCTTGATTTTTTTGTATTTCAACTATCAAGATTTCTATAATCAATATATTCGTGTTTGCTATTTGTAGTCAATATTTTAAAAATCAAAAATTAAAACTATTTTAATAATATTTTGAAATCCAAATGAGAAATTTTGTAAAATTTCACTTCCTAAAACAACAAAAGCTGAATAATGAATTATGTATAGTTGCACTTTTACAAACTATCATGTGATGCTGGCTGTTGTTACATAAATTAATAATATTTTTAGTTAGTGATGATAGCTTTTGCTAAATTTTGATTATGTCCATGTGGTTTCATCATAATTTAAGCTTTCAACATATTTATAAACATGATCTTTGAACCACAATTGATTGCAATCTCAATCTTTATCAGTATTATTCATGTTTAAGTATTTGTTTTATTAACATTATTCCAAAAATTTATGCAACAAGTTCCAAAACAGAATATTATTACCCTACTTAATGTCAAAAGAATTCAACAACAATACATTAATGATACATTTATACATTAAAAAGAATAAAAATACAATGTTTGCAATGTTTAATATCAAAAAACTAAGAAGTTAGTTTCAGGATTGTAAACAAAAAATTTACTTCCAAATGTATATTTTTTCAAATGTATGTGGATATACATATACATATATATATATATATATATAAGAATGAAGGCAAATTCGTAAGAGCTGGGTGGTACATTTTTCTGCTTGCATTAGCAAGTTAAGTGAAAATGCTACGTATAAACTATTAATCTCATCACATGTCTTTGCAGAACATGTCTTTGACAAATTTTTATTTTATATTGTTTCCGGATTTTATATAGCCAACATTGGATTTTGTACACTTTACAAAACAATGTGTAAATAAGCTGGTGAGTTTTTACATGTGAAATGGGAACATTAAAACTTATAATTATCAGAAAGGAAATAAAAAAATATGACAGAATTTTATATGCACTGGAAACCAAAAACAGTTTGAAACTGAATCATGTAAAAATCACAAACATAGGCAGATGATGCTAAAAATTGCCATTTTTCTTCATGCTACATTATTGTATTGGATCACATTAAAAGTTACAATTCTATCCACAATCACTAGATGGTCTTTTATTGTCCGTTTCTCTGACACATTCACACTTATCAATATATCTGTCCGTATAATTTACTTAATACCAAAAATAAAACGTGATTATCAAAAATGTTAAAGATTATTGCATATTCATTATGAATGTTGTAACTCCCCACTACATTATTATATTTTATACTTATATATATATATTTTTGTGTTTTTTTTTCCTTAATTTCCTTGAGGACTTTTGAATAGAGGTTGGTAAAAAAAAAAAAAAAAAAAAAAAAAAACTTAGTGAACAATCCAACCCGGCGGCCCGCCCGAGATTCCTCCGGGGGACCCGGCCACAGCGTAACTCCCACCCCGGCAACCGTAGGGTGGACTCAACCCATCAGGGGAATTCTCACGGCCGACGTTACTCGACCCGTCGAATCGCCGGGGGCTGAACGATCCCCGAGTGAGGCTGCCGACTGTAGGTCGCTCGTCGTAGGACGGGGAAATCCGACGATAGAGGCGCGGTCGCAGCCCCCTGACCGGCGAACGCCAAGAGGTGGCGGAGTCGGCGCGTCGTATTGAAGCGCCCGCCGCGCCTCGCTGCCCTGTGGAGCCGTGTCAGCAATGTCCGAGACTGCCAGGGAATGAGAGCATCGGTGGAGACTAGCAAAAAATTCGCCGCAAAGATTCAGTCTCATCCTGTTCGGTGTCAATGCTGAGCTTCCAGGGCTGAGTTGCATTCATGTCTCACTGGACTCATGTGGGTCTTATCCACAAGGGCGCTCTCGCGATCCCCTTTAAAGTAGCCGCGTTGCTTCCACTTCTTCATCATTCGTGGCATGTTGCGTTCACTCCTCCCAATTGGCATCCGTGTTATGCGTTCGTTGCGTGTACTGTTTTGTGTTGCAATTCTCACCTCTGGGGGTGCAGTAGTTCTCTCTGAGAACTGGAGTTTGGGTGCATGCTTTCGGGTCACTGGCATGGTTTTTGGATCGCGGCCGTTGGCTCATCGAATTTTCGGAGTGGAACTGTGTGATCCTGGTGATAGCCCCAGGCGGGTTGAGACTTAATTGACAGCAGGAATATTGGACTTGAAGAAGCGGAGGTTGGAAACGCGATATGGCTCCCGTTGCGATGATGTCGACGGTACCGGCCACTGATGCTTCCACTCGCCCCGGCTGCGGTGGGGCATTGACCCCTGCCGTACTTGTGCACACCATCAAAAGGACTGATGCCATGTAAGTGATTATCAGCAGCTGAGGAGAAGTAGTTTTTGCGACCGACGATTTTTTTTGTCTCAACCAGGAAAGTCCAACACACGCCTGGTTGGACGTGAACGGCATGTATAAAACGAGATATTGTTCAAGATTTGCGACGACCGTGTTGAATGCATTGCTAAACTTTTGTTGCTGCTGCGTCCTTGATCACGTGTAATTACATGACCAATGCTGCCCAGAAAATTTCCCATACTGTGACTTGATCGTGATCCTGTGTTTTCCACCATGGCCGTTGTTTTCTCATTCGCCCTCCTGAGGAATTTGGTCATGCTTGAACTTGCTTTGGCTGTTTTTCTAACACAATTGCGACGATTTGCATGCAGTGATGAGCAGCAAACCGAGGCTTACAAGAAGTTGGAAGTTCTTCTGACGTATTCGCGCCAAATTCTGACGGAGAACGACCTCGGTGGCTACACCATCCCCGCCAAGGGGCTGTACCCCTACCAATGGAACTGGGACTCGGCACTGGTGGCGATGGGGTGGGCTACCTTCGACGAAGCACGCGCATGGGAGGAGATGACCAAGCTCTTTTCCGCCCAATGGGATGATGGAATGGTATCGCACATCGTATTCCACAAGCCCTCGACCACTTACTTCCCTGGTCCCGAGATCTGGGGCTCCGTCGAGAAACCGCGCAAATCCACGGGCATCACGCAGCCTCCGGTGGCTGCTATAACGGTGCATAAGCTGTACGAGCAAGCCGTGAACAAGGAGTTGGCGTTGACGAAAGTGAGGGAGCTCTTCCCCAAGCTCCTCGCCTGGCACCGCTGGTTCAAAACCGCTCGCGATCCCGAGAACACCGGCTTGGTGGCCACTCTGCACCCTTGGGAGAGTGGCATGGATAACAGTCCTGCCTGGGACGAGCCCCTTCGTAATGTCCCTGTGGATGACATCCCGCCTTACGTGAGGGCAGACTTGACTCATGTAAACAGCTCCATGCGCCCCAGCCAGGCCGAGTACGATCGCTTCCTCACTCTAGTCTATCGCTTCCGTGCCGTGGACTACGATTGCAAACAGCTCTACTATCTTTCTCCTTTTCGTGTCACAGACCTGTGCACCAACAGCGTCCTCTATCGTGCCAATCTTTCCCTCAGGTACACATACCATCGATGCCCTCTCCTCTTTCTCACCTTCTCTTTCGATTCAAAATTTCAATCCTCTTGTTAGTTCAACTTATCTGACGCTCTCTATGTGGCAGATGGCTTGCCGAGATGCTTGGCGAGTTGGACGTCGTCCCGGAAATTGATGAATGGCTCGAAGGCTTTCGTGTAGCCTTCAGCAGTCTTTACGATCCTGCTGTAAAGATGTTCAAGTCGAAAGACCAGCTAACTGGTAAGCTATTGAATGCCAGCACATCCGCTGGGTTCCTCCCTCTCTTCGCCCGGATCGCAACGCCTTCCCAAGCTCAGGAGCTCGCTGCCACTTTGGAGCAGTGGCTCAGCTGCGTTAAGTATGGAATCCCCAGCAACGACCCCAACTCTGCAGATTTTGAACCTCTCCGCTACTGGAGAGGACCCATTTGGGCAATCGTCAACTGGATGATCACCGATGGTCTTCTTGCCTACGGCTACGACGCGCTTGCGCAGCGTGTCGAGTCGGACACCTATGAGCTTCTCGGGTCAGGTATCTGCGAGTACTATGACCCCACAGACGGCAAGCCAGCCGGCGGTGGCAGCTTCTCGTGGACCGCCGCGATGTGCCTCGCTTGGCTCGGGAAATGCGCCACTTCTGCATAGATCACAACTAACTCTGCTAGATCCGAAAACATATGGAAATTCATTAAAAGAATGAATTCGATCCCAAACAAAATGATCCTGCCATGTAAGGAGTCCAGTCACAGGCTTTGGCATATTCAGAATTCCTGAAGATGGCGAGAATGATTGTGAAATAATGACTGTCCACTTTACTATAGCGACCAAGTATCATTCCGACACAGCCCCTAGACAAACGACGAACACGGAGGAATGTTTGGTAACAGCCACGGAGAATCTGCGGTGAGTGGATTTTTCGAGGAGGAAGAATTGATGCGCACTCCGAGAGCAAGCTGTTTGGGATGCAGCAGCAACGAAATTCAACATGCAAAAAGGAACCTCTCCACAATGTTACAGTGGCGTTAGATTGTTATTGTTACCAGATGGGAAAGAACCCTTTCCCGAATTATTTTTGGCATCAATGATGATTGAAGCCCACAAGGGGGTTTCGATTCGCTGAACGCGACTTTCACTTCGCTGAATGCCAGCTTAGGTAACAAAATAATTAAAGAACAAAACTGTCGCACTTTTTCCTGATTACAGCTTCAAATGTGAATTCAACCCTGGCATCGAACATGTTTTTGAGTTCCTGACTGCTTACAAAGATACTTAGAATCCGATTGTCTTCACAAATTTGTTACTGTAATAACGTATGCGTGAATTGCTACGCTTCATGTTAATCCATCTCTGCCCAGTTTGCAAGAAGCGTGCAGTAGACTTCATGATGTTGAGGCCATTCAAGCCACTCTTGAGTACTTTACACAACAGCGTCATCGCCTTCTGTCGACAACTCAGTAGAGCTGTTCAGACACAAGCAGACGATAGAATTTGGCGACACAGTTGCTACTCAATCTTGTACGTCTTCGTTGAACGACCACAACCCTGACGATGCCACAATCAGCTGCGTTACTGGTACTGTCAGCCCATATCTCACCACAGGTCATATCTTACCACCCCAAAAGGAAATCCGGCACGCAAGTCACAACAATTGTACCCCAAAAAACGGCCGATCTCGTGAATAAATCTGCACGGATTGCACACGTTCTAGAGTTCATCCGGCCATGGATTTTACTGACTGCAACAGACACTTTCGATCAGCATTACTGAAGCAAACGGTACTCTGCAAACTTGCTGCTAAAACACTGCAGGTAGGAAATCTCCTCGTTGCAGAGTCTGAGCATATTTAATTAATTCCTCAAAAGCTTGCTGTAGATTGTGACTACCAATCCTTCACTCCTTAGCTCATAAAAACTTTATTTGTGCTCCTAATGCTCAACTTGTGCAAGCCACACATGCATCGGGTTAGCATTCAACTAAATTATGATATATGTCACACCTCACAAGAGTTCACAAGCCCAAGCCTCTACTTCTAATCCTTGTTCAACCTTTGCAGCACTAATTTTTATGTTGGTCATGTATGAATATTTGTCTTCTTGCTATCCACCTCTTTTCCAAACTCAAAGGTTCTTACTTGGTATTATTTTATTGTCATCCAATTGTTTGTTTTTGGTATTTGTAAAGGTACATTTTTGGTTCTATAATAGGTTTTATTTTTTTATAAATTAAGAGTTTATTTTTATTTTTAGAGGTGATTTTTTATTTATATTTATGCCTTCTCTTACTTTGATGCATCCATCTTTTTATTTTTTTTAGTTTTAATCACTCAAGCATCTTCTTAATAACTTCTTTTATAAGTTTTGATAGAATCATTTTTTTTCTACAAAATAGTCTTTATTTTACATTGAAATTCTGAATGATACTTTACCAATTGGCTATAAGTGCCAATTCATGTTGTATCTTCCATTAATTTTCTACAAAGATGATTGAATTTTTATAAAGGTCTTTTTATCTTTTAAATAAGGCTAATTTATCATATTTCAAGAAATTCAATTTGAATTGTTAATTACTTGGTCAAAGTATTATAGATTTTTTTTTTCTAGCTCAAACATACTTTTTAAATTTCTTCCAAATGTTTATTTAATAACATTCATTTCTTAATTACCTTGTGTTGGGTCTTTTTTTTTTATTTGTGAATTCATTGCTTCACATTTTATATATTTATTATAAAAGTTGGTATTATATTTTTGGTGTCACAATGATTTTTTTATTTTAATATAACCTATTTATTTTTTTAAGCAATAATTTATACATCTTTCTATTACATGGTTAATTCCACTAATTTATTACTAAAAGTTTTAGATGCAGTTGATACTCCTTGCTTATGACTTAATTATCTTTGATAGCAACTTAATAGTTGCCTATCTTCTTATTATATTTTGTAAATAAATATTAAAAATAAAAATGATTCATTTGATTTATCTATTCATATTTTTGAAGTAGATAACCTTGATGTATATATCTAAATGTATTAGATCCATATGTGTGTTATTTTTATATTTCTAATTATATCATATTATTTATTTATATTTTTATTTATAATAAATTTTTATTTATTAGGAATATATATATTTATTTTAAGATTTATCTATATGATTAAGTAGAAGTAGATAAAAATAGATTTATTTTATAATATTTTTTAGAATAGCTTCTTAGAAGCTTCATGGACACTGCTTTGACTTTATATGTATTTATAATTGATTGATAGGTTAGAAACTAATTTTAGAAGTTAATCACATGTTAATAATTTATAAAAAAAGCTAATTATGTGGTGTACATATAGAAAACTTGCTTGGCAAGTTAAGATACATTTTGTATAAAGTTAACATATTTTAGAAGTCCTATAGGATATTGCTATATAACTCCTAGTTAAGAGTATTTATGGAAGCAAGAGTGAAGCCTTCTTTACTCTTATCAATGCCTTAGTAGTCTTAAGTCTTTTTTTCAAGACTTCCTAAAGTTCTTATCTTTGACAAAAGCCATTCTAATTTAATATTATATCATCTTTGAGTGATTATTTAGTCTTTTCAAGTAACATAAGAATGTCATGATCTTTTATTTCTTCAAGATTCATGTATTTGATGGTTTGAGAAGAGTGCTAACTTATTATTCTTGTCTTATTTTAGAAGTGAAAAGATCACTTCATTTTTATTATTATATTTTGAAAATTTTGAATTATCCACCTTTAAATAAACTATTATCAAGGATATGAATCTCAAAGAAAGTAATCCTCAATAAACTCTTGTATCATTGAAAAGAACTAGAAAGTCATTCAAAGATAATATAATATTAAACTAGAATGACTATTGCCAAAAATAAGAAAAGTAGAAATTCTTCAAACAAGACTAAATACTTAAAAGGCATTGTCAAGAATAAAGAAGGCTTTTCTCTTACTTCTATATATACTCTTAATTAGGAGCTACGTGGCAATGTCCTATATAAATTCCAAAATATGTTGACTTTGTAAGATACATATCTTAACTTGTAAGACAAGTTTTTTATATGTGTACCACATATTTAGCTTGTTTTACAAGCTATCAATACATGGATAACTTGTTGACCAAGTTTTTAACCTATCAATCAACTATACATATACATAAAGTCAAAACAACATTTATGAAGCTTTTAGGAAGCTTTTCTAAAAGATATTATAAAATTAATCTACTTTTATCTATTTTTACCTACTTCTACCTAATCATATATGTATTTATTAAAGTATATATATATATATATATATATATATATATATATATATATATATATACATGATGTTACTTAGCTTTCTAGGCATGATTTCTATCCTTCTAGGAGTAGTCATTGTGTGTTGATGAAATCTAAGATGTAGCAAATTATATTTGTTATATACTCTTATCTTTGTTTTTTTTTGAAGATGATTGATAGGTCTTCTTAGCCATCAATAGTATCCCATACCAAGGCAAGAAGACCATCATGTTATTTGATCATTGTTGATGCCTTTGTAACTACTTTCTAATAAAATATTTGAAATACCATTAAGATTTGCTTGTATTTTCAATAAAATCAACAAATATTGGAAGTCTCTTCCAAGGTTATGATATCAAACACATTGTATTTTGCCATCTATTTAAGAAATGACATGTTATTTTTGAGGATCTTTATCTTGATTATATCATATTGAAGGTTGTAACAATCATAATATATTATCTAATAAGCCAACAAGTGAAAGCTCTTGAGTTGAATCTATTGGTTGTTGATTCTCCATTTCTTTAATGTTATAAATACACAAAATCTACAAAAAAAGATAGAAGATAGAATGTTATCTTTTTTGGATCTTATTTCTTTTATAGTAAAGATTTACAATTCTTCAACTCAGTTTTGATGGATGTCATTGATGCAAAGCTTTAATTTTCTTTACTATATTTATAAGATTCTTTGTTGACTCCTATGTGCATTCATTAAAATCATATCCATGTTAATGTACAAGATATTCTAATCTATTTTGGTGCCATCTAAAATCTAAGACTTCTTCCACCTCAAACTCTTGATTATTATCTACTTCTATAGGAGGAGGTGGCATTTGTCTTCTTCTCAAGATATTCATTGTCTTATGTGATTCAAGAAGAAATACATGAAAAAGAGGGTAGATCTTCATAAACTTCAATAAATATAATCAATAAGCAACAAAATTGATTTTTTTACTAATAGAAAAAGATCCAAGCTTATGATGATCCAACTTTTCATAAGGACGAATAGTCTTGATATTGCAACAAAGTAATTATACCTTGTCATTCATGTTGAATTATAGTTGTTTCTTACAATAGGTATCTGAAATAATCTTTTGTTACTCTTGATCTCCCTTTAATTATGTCTTAATTGTTGTATGTAGCTCTAATAAATAATTTGTCAAATTTTTTGCCACAAGATTATTAATTTTTGAAAAGTCAAAAGTATCAAGTCTTAGATTATAATCATAACTTGCAAAGAAAGATATTAGTCGAGTTGAAGAATATATCAAATTATTATATGCAAACTTTTTCAATGGTAAAAAGATTGTCCAATCATCTTGATGATAGTTGATAAAACATCTCAAATACTATTCCAAAACTTCCTTCACCTATTTTGTTTGTCCATCAATTTGAGGATGAAAAGCCAAAAAGAGCTTTATATCTATTTTTAAAATCTTAAAAATTATTCTTTAAATATTTTATATTAAATGAGTCTCCCTATCCAATATAGTATCTTTAAGCAATCCGTTGTCATATTATAACACGACTATATGGTGAAAATATAAATAAAAAATATTTTATTAATATTTAGCCATCTTGGTTGATAAGAGCTCAAGACAATTTAGGAAGGCTTTATAAAAGCTTTTAGAGTATTTTCTTGTCTTGATAGCTAGTAGATAAAAGCTTGTCATTAATTTTTCTTTCTAGATTATAGAAACTATTTTATCACTTTAGAAAGGCCATAAATTAGTAAAAATAAGGTAGATGAAGTAAAAAAATGATATGGTAGATAATAAGGTGAAGTTGAAGTTAGGAAAGTGTTGAAAAACCTCTAGGATAAGTAGGATTGATATCCAAGAGACAACTGTTTGTGGGTTGAGGTCAAAACCAAACCTATAGCCACTAAAACGGCCACTTAGGGTAAAATAGGGAGGCATTTG